GAAAAAAAAGTTGACTTTGGTCTTGCCTATCTCTTCCTCAACAATTTTCCATGCAACTTAACCTTCAAGCTTTTTTCCTACTCTCCAAGAATTTGAGACTGGGAATTTCAAGTATTTTTTGTTTTTATTCTCATTCTCACATATTGACTCACTCTTACTTATATCAACAAGGCAACCAAAATGTCTGTATGTATATATGCAATTATTTATAGCCTAGCTAATTAGAGTAATCAATATGTTTGGAAAATATTGTATGGGATCAAAATGATAACAAACAGAACGATCTTACATCTTAAATTTCTAGATTTGTGTTCTACAATTGAAACTTTTGGTTAAGAAGGAAGTTTTGCCTCCTTAATTCTTCTTTCCCTTTTCTCCAAGTTCCATCAGTCCTCTTTTTTTTGTTTTTTATTTTTTTTGTTTTTTATTACAGTAGTATTGGATTATAACGTTAGATAACTTTCAGGTGTACATTGTAATATATTTCCAATTCTGTGTAGATTACATCAAGTTCACCACCCAAAGACTAATTACCATTCATCACGACACACAGGTGCCTAATCACCCCTTTCACCCTCCCCCCTCCCCCTTCCCCTATGGTAACCACTAATCCAATCTCTGATGCTATGTGTTTGTCGTTGTTTTTATCTTCTACCTATGAGTGAGATCATGTGATATTTGACTTTCTCTCTCTGACTTATTTTGCTTAGCATAATACCTTTAAGGTCCATCCATGTTGTCACAAATGGCCAGATTCCATCATTTCTCATGGCTGAGTAGTATTCCATTGTGTATATATACCACATCTTCTTTATCCATTCATCCCTTGATGGGCACCTAGGTTGCTTCCAAGTCTTGGCTTATTGTGAATAATGCTGCAGTGAACATAGGGGTGCACGTATCTTTATGCATTTGCGTTTTCAAGTTCTTTGGATAAATACCTAGCAGTGGAATAGCTGGATCATATAGTATTTCTACTCTTAATTTTTTGAGGAATCTCCATACTGTTTTCCATAGTGGCTGCACCAGTTTGCACTCCCACCAGCAGTGTATGAGGGTTCCCTTCTCTCCACATCCTCTCCAACACTTATTGTTTCCTGTCTTGGTGATTATACCCATTCTGACTGGAGTGTAGTTTTGATTTGCATTTCCCTGACAGGTAACGATGTTGAACATCTTTTTATCTGCCAGTTTGGCCATCTGTATATTTTCTTTGGAGAAATCTCTGTTCAGATCTTTTGCCCATTTTTTAGTTGGATTGTTGGTTTTTTTGTTGTTGAGCTGTATGAGTTCTTTGTATATTTTGGATATTAACCCCTTACCTGATATATGGTTTGCAAATATCTTCTCCCAATTGTTACGTTGTCTTTTTGTTTGTTGATCGTTTCTTTTGCTGTGCAGAAGGTTTTAGTTTGATATAGTCCCATTTGTTTATTTTTCTATCGTTTCCCTTGCCTGGTCAGACACGGTATTTGAAAAAGATGCTACTAAGACCCATGTCAAAGAGCATACTGCCTATGTTTTCTTCTAGAAGTTTCATGTCTTATATTCAAGTTGTTTTTGTTTTTGTTTTTTTTTTGAGGAAGATTAGCGCTGAGCTAACATCTGTTGCCAATTCTCTTCTTTTTGCTGAGGAAGACTGGCCCTGAGCTAACATCCATGCCCATCTTCCTCTATTTTGTATGTGGGATGCCTACCACAGCATGGCTTGCTAAACGGTGCCATGTCCACACCTGGGATCCCAACCAGTGAACCCCAGGCCGCAGAAGCAGAACGTGTGCACTTAACCGCTGTGCCACCAGGCCGGCCCCTACATTCAAGTTTTTAACCATTTTGAGTTGATTTTTGTGCAGGGTGTAAGATAATGGTCTACTTTCATTCTTTTGCATGTGGCTGTCCAGCTTTCCCAACACCATTTATTGAAGAGACTCTCCTTGCTCCATTGTATGCTCTTGGCTCCCTTGTCGAAAATTAGTTGTCCATAAACATGTGGGTTTATTTCTGGGCTCTCGATTTTGTTCCATTGATCTGTGTATCTCTTTTTGTGCCAGTGCCATACTGTTTGGGTTACTATAGCTTTGTAGTATATTTTGAAATCAGGGCGTGTAATATCTCCAGCTTTGTTCTTTTTTCCTCAGGTTTCCTTTGGCTATTTGCAGTCTTTTGTTGTTCCATATAAATTTTAGGATTCTTTGTTCTATTTCTGTGAAAAATGTTGTTGGAATTTTGATAGGGATTGCATTGAATCTATGGTTTGCTTTAGGAAGTATGGACATTTTAACTATGTTAATTCTTCCAATCCAAGAGCACAGAATATCTTTCCATTTCTTTGTGTCTTCTTCAATTTCTTTCAACAATGTTTTATAGTTTTCACTGTACAGATCTTTCACCTCTTTGGTTAAGTTTATTCCTAGGTATTTTATTCTTCTTGTTGCAATTGTAAGTGGGATTGTATTCTTAATTTCTCTTTCTGCCATCGGTTCTTTATCTGGCGCCCCTTTGAATCAGACTCCTACCGAAGGCAGTGCTATGCCTCCTCTGATCTTTCATAGGCCTTAGTTCAACTTGACAGATACTCAATTATTACACTGGGGTGCAATTATTTGCTACCCTAATGTTTCCACATCAGTGGGATTTCATTGGAGTGGCAGAATCTGAAAATCTTCCACTATCTTCCTCTTCTTCATTTGTAAGAAATCACCCTGGGTTTCAGCTGGATCATAGTTGCCTAGGTAGCATTTACATATTCTATCTAGCCTCTCTTGCAGTAAAGAGTAGGCACTGACTATGTTTCTACAAACGTGATGTGAGAAGAAAGGATGTTTGCATCCCTATTACAAAGGAAATTGATTGCACCCCACATTTTTCCCCCTCTTTCCCACAGGCTGGAAATATGCTTCAAACATGAAGGTAAGGACAATACTTTGAATGATATTGAATAACTAAGATATTAAGAATCTGATGGGCCAGTCCCAGTGGCCTAGTGGTTAAGTTTGGGGTGCTCCACTTTGGAGGGCCAGATTTGGTCCCCAGCCACAAACCTACACCACTCATCTGTCAGTGACTATGCTGTGGTGGCGGCTCACATACAAAAAAAGGAAGATTGGCAGCAGATGTTAGCTCAGGGCAAATCTTCCTCAGCAAAAAAAAAAAAAAAAAAAAAAAGAATAATCTGAATAATCTTGTGAATGAATCATAGTACCCCCCTATATGGCTCACTTCTTGCCCATTGTAAGAGAAGAAATAAGAATTCTGCTTTATTTGAGGCACTACATTTTAGATAATATTTTCTTAACTTGTCCTATATTATAGAAATTGGCTCTAGAAGTGGGAAACCTTCATCATAAAAATCAAAATATGTAGCATTAGTTTAGCAAGTTGTGTAGCAGGTAGAGAGAATCATACTCAAGCTGGAAAGAGGTGCCCCTTGCTATGTTACTCGAAAATATATACTAACTTGGAAATAGGCTGTGTTATTACCAAGCTGCAGCTCTAGAGGAATAGCCTGAAAACATGCCAGATTTTTGGTGTATGTTGGCTGCTACTTGGAAATTTAACAAAATACTACAAGAAACATGGGATAAATTTAGACAATAAATGGCCCATTTGCAAATAAAGATGGAAGGGAATATAGCTCTACTAATGGTGAGTCTCTCTGCCTGTGAAATGCAATTTCATGGATTAAAATGCCATTAATTTGGGACATTAGAGAACTGGAAAAGTCAACTGCTTCTATTCCTCAAAGAGTGTGATGTAACATTGTCATCAGAGCCAGCCCAGGGGCAAAGATCAGTTTAAGATTATTGGTTTCCTAACCAACTTCCCAAGACTTTAATTTCAGATAGGATTAAGGTAGCTGATATTAAGTTAAGGGAGAGAGAGAAGAACAGAGCAGAGAAGACAATAAATTAAAGATGAGCATTTATAGGTTCTATGGAAATTTGCCCAAAAGAGATCTTTGAGCATGGCTACTCCACATGGAACAGATTAGAAGCAAATGGACAAGAAATCTACTAAGGTTTTTAGGGAAATTTTTTTTTTTTAAAGATTGGCCCTGAGCTAACATCTGTTGCCAATCTTTTTTTTTTTTCTTCCTCTCTTTCTTCTTCTTTTCTCCAAAGCCACCCAGTACGTAGATGTATATTCCAGGTGTAGGTCCTTCTAGTTCTGCTGTGTGGGATGCCACCTCAGTATGGCTTGATGAGTGGCACTATGTCCACGCCCAGGATCTGAACTGGAGAAACCCTGGGCCACCAAAGCAGAGCGCACAAACTTCACCACTCGGCCACAGGGACAGCCCCTAAGGGAATTTTATTACCAAAGAAATCTCAAGTCTGGTGTACAAAAGCCTGTGATTGTTAAATCTCTAACGCAATATTCAGTCCTCTAAAGCTGCCCTAAGTAGAGTGCACTCTTTCTTGCCCCTTCTGATGTGGATAGTCGACAAGGAAAAACCTCCCAAACACACAAAACCAAAGCCGCAGGGAGCAATGAACAAGGGAGACACTTCACAGCTAGAAAATGGATCAACCAGGGAACTTACTCCCCCAGCAGAAAGCTTTCACGATTCCAGCCCAGGAGAATTTAACACTTGCTATGGTCCAAAAACTACTGTGAGATTTCCATTCTTTACATTTCTGAAAGGGTGTTTTTCTTTCTTTCTCTTTTTAATTAAAAAAGAATTATTGTGGTAAAACATACATAATGTAAGATTTACCATTTTAACCATTTTTAAATGTGCAGTTCAGCGACAGTAAGTACATTCACATTGTTGTGCAACCATCACCACTACCCCTCTCCAAAATTTTTCGTCTTCTCAAACTGACATTTGTTACCTATTAAGCAATAACTCTCCACTCCCCCATCTTCCCAGCCTCTGGTAACCACCATTCTACTTTCTTCCTCTATGAATTTGACTATTCTACATACGTCATATAAATAGAATCATACAATATTTGTCCTTTTTTATCTGGCTTATTTCACTTACCTTAATGTCTTCCAGGTTCATCCATGTTGCACTGTACTGACAGAATTTCATTCCATTTTGTGGCTGAATAATATTCCATTGTATGTATTCCTGACTGGAATCCTCCACAGGTGATGTTGTGTCCTCAGGATATCACAACAGGGATGGTTTTAAATTCAATTATTCTTTTCTTATTCTACCATTCCATATTGGAGTTGGGGAAGACATATAACTTGCGTTCAGTTTATGGTTTACCAGATCATAAGGAGCTACTTCCTAACCTGATTGAGAAGACTGCATTACACTCTGGGCCTGTATTTTCAGCTGCATAGGATAGGATTACTGGATAGGATTCTGAGTGGTCTCCCTTCTGGAAGGTTTGAGTGTATTTGTGAGGAAAGATGAGGCTGCATAGATATCTAGGTGGCTAGAAGGGAAAACTGTGACAGAGACTGCTAATTGTCCATGTATATTCATTCTCTCCTAGGTCACTCAATAATAGAACCATCAGAGTTTCGTCTAAACAGAACTGCCCAGCAAGAGATTACATTTCCTAGTCTACCTTGAAGGGAGGAGAGAGGTGACTAAGTTCTGGACAATTTGATGTTAATAGAAGTAATGTGTTCAACCTTCTAGTCACATCTATTAAAAAGGAAATTGCTTACATTTCATTTCCTCTCCCTTTCTTCTTTCATAGGATGGGAACAAAGATGGACCAATGAACTGTCTTTTACCAGGAGAATGAGGACTACACTCTAGGGGCTAGTTCGCAACACAATAGGAGAATCTGAGTCCCTGAATGATCTCCTGCATCAAAATCCCTGCTAGCCAGAATTGGATGAACTCCTATATGAGACAGAAAAAAATCTACCACCTTGATAAATTCACTATATCTTTGGAGATTTTATGTTACAGTAGCTTAGTCTATACCCTAAATATTATAATTGAATTATAAGAATATGGATTGATGAGGAATATCTTTGAAATAGAGAAACACAACCATATTAACACTTTAAATGTTTTCATCACATCTTAAGCTATTGATAAATAAGGGACTGTCCTTAATCTTCATATTCCTAGCATTTATCCTATTGCCTAACACGGTAATCAATGCATTTTTTTCCCTTAATTAGTCAGATAATTCACATAATAACATTGGCAAAGTAAGAATGGTTGTATGATTCAAATAGTTTTTAAAATGAACATTAATTCTGCCTCCTTCACCCATTAATTATAGTTGTCTCCCTAGTGTCTAACTCTGTGCCTTCTCATCAAGATTTGAATTGAATTACTACTCATCATATCTGTCCCATCTGAATGAAAAATGCCCTTGATTCCTATTTGTTTGTCCTAGAAGATTCTAATCATTTATTTTAACAGAAAATTTAGAACAACAGTAGACTAAGTGTTTGGTAAGTTTGGAGACGTGCTTGTTAGAAAAAGATTTAAACCTTCCTTTTATTTTTATAGTCCCACAGCCAAATTTTCAATAGTAAATTCCATACGCAATACAGTATTCCAAAATATTATTAGATCACACAGAAATAAATCCTCAAATAATCTCTTCCACACACACAAACTTAATTTAAACAAGAAAAGCGCCCAATTCTATTTGCAATAATTATCTGAGTGGCAATACTCATTAATGTGGTTTCTAACCAAATATAAATAAAGAATATGTGTGGAGAACACTGGAATAATAAAACCGGGCCACAATATTCAACACAATGGAAGGAAAAACTGCCATTCATCTTCCTGTTGATTATCAAATTGCATTTCCTTCTTCAAGCTCATTAATACTGGATGTGGTATTGTTTTCTTCAGTAAGTGAAAAATCAGATTGTGAAATTGAAAATGCTACATGAGGGATGCAGTCTGATACATTGGACAGAGCAATGAATTTGGAGTTAGAAGACCTGGGTTCCACTGAATTCTGGCTCTGCCACTAAATTTCAGTTTTTTACTTTCAACAAGTTATTAATGCTTTCTAAGCTTAAAATTCTTACTTTATAAGACTAGCAGGATGGGCTAGATGATTAATAAGTTATTTTCTGGTTATAGAGTTTTGTGATTCTATCAATTTCCCAGTGTATCCCATAACATTAAAAACTCATCCAACATACATTAATTAAGGAATATACTTTGTGTTAGGCACCAAGTTAGATCAAAGTTGAAGGTAAATGATGAAGATAGACATGATCTCTGTCCTCCTGGAGCTTACAGTCAAATGGAAAGACAGAGACTGTATTAATATTATAACACTAAATAATTAGTTGCATTTGTGGGATGTGCCACCAAGAAAGGTAGACAATGCTATAAGATATAAAATAAACAAACCTATTCTACTCTAGAATGCTAGGGAATCTTCTCTGATTAAGAAACATTTAAGCCAAGACCTGTAGGACAATAGCCAGGCAAAGAGGAACAGAGGGGAAGTCCAGACAGAGGAAACAGCAGGAGCAAATTCCTTGTGTTGGAAGAGAGTTCTTGGCCCATTTAAGTTAGTGAAAACAAGCCAGTGTTGCTGGAGCACACAGAGTGAGGGAGAAAGTGGTACAAAATGCAACTGGAGAAGTAAGCAAGGTCAGTTCATTTGGAACCGTAAAGACAAACATATTATGAATTTTGGACTCTGTACAAAGATATACAGGATGAGACAGAACAGTTTTAGATAAGGATGCAATATGACAGTTTTGCCTTGAAAACATTACTCTATTGGGAATAGTGTTGGTGGCAGTTGTGGATATGAGGAGACCAGATCAAAGTTCTATCATATCAGATGGGCAAGAGATGACAGAGATAACAGGGTTCTTATAGATAAAATGAAAAGAAGTGGATGGATTTTTGTATTTATTTAGAAGCAAGGATTTACCAAAAGTGTGATTAATTTGGATACTGGTATTGAAGAAGTGTGAAATTTCCAAGGTCATTCCATATTCTCAGTCTTTGGCAGCTAGTAGATGTGGAAAACATATACTAAGCTGGCTTATACCACAGGAATGATCACTTTGGAGAAGGGGGGAATTATGATTTTATTTTGGAATAATGAGTTTGTGCTGTGCACACAACAACCAAGGAAAATGTTGAACACTATTTAGACAGAGGTCTAAATTTTAATAGAGGTGTTTGAGATATATAATATATAGTATTTTATATATATTGTAAAGTTAGGAGTTGTTAACATACATATGGTATTTAAACTTATGAGAGTGGATTAAGATGTCAAGTAGAAAGTATAAAAAGAAAGGAGAGAAGAAGAGGAGAGAAAGATGAGAAAAGGCCTAGGACAGATAATTGAGGATATTCATCATATAACATGCACATCAAAGAGGAAGGAAACCCAGGGAAACTGAGAGAAGTGATCAGAGAGGTAGCGAAAGTCGGTGGGGGTAGAGGTGGAACAGAGCACTTAGTGTCAAGAAGCCAAGGCAAGATAGTACTTCTAGAAACAGAGTATGATCAACTATATGCAGAGCTGCTGCAAAGTCAAAGTGAGGACTGAAAGTGTCCACTGGTATAATTGACACAGGGGTCACTGGAGAGCTTAGCAGAAGTACTTTTGATTGAGTCGTAGAAATCAGAAGTGAGTGGACTAAGGAATTAATAGGGGATAAGAGTGAAGATGGGTAGTTTTTCAGATGTTTGGCTAAAAAAGAATGAAGAGAGATTAGACAGCAGCAGAAAAAGATGAGAAAATCCACGGATTCTTTTTTTTAAGGATGGTAGAATGTATTTAAATGTTGATATAAAGAATCCAATAGAAAAGTAAATAATACACACAAAAAATAGAAGATATAAAGCGGCTAGCTGATAGGAAATTTGCCTAAAAAGTTAGAAGAGAATGAGATCCATAATACAGGTAAAGTTTGGTTGGAGGAGGGACATATCCTTTAACAGAAGGGAAGGAACAAAAGAGGTGGTGGAGGTACAGAAAGATCTGCAAATTTGGAAACAGGAAGTTGAAGTCATCTCCCTATGACGGCTTCTATGTTTTCTGCAAAACAGAAAAGGTTCGTTCTGCTGAAATTGCTGGAAGGGAGGCAAGAGATCAGAACTTTGAAGAGAATGGAGAAAGTTTAAAATAGCAGTTTTAGAAAGTGGGAAAGAGAGCTAATTAGAGAAACACAGGGATATGGCCAGGCCCTGTTGAGACAGTTAAAACAGATAGTCATGAATCACGGAACAACCTCTCTGCTCCATGGTGCAGTCACATTTAAGTGAATTTCATGAGCACAGAGCCAGTCGGGAGAGAGTGGTATTTACTCCAGTGTGATGCTTCGCTGGGCGAAGGGGCAAGGAAACAGAAATGACAAAAGTGCTTGAAACAGTGGACTGCGGAATGTATGCTGTTGGGACAATTCACTGGATGCTATAGAACTCTGGCTGGCATAAGAGGTTTAATGTAAATAATTTGGAAGCTGATCTCCAAAACGATGGAGGATGTGGCCGGAGGATTACAAAATCAGAGGTTTTTTAACTGTGGAGCAATTATGAGTAGTGTAAAGGCCCAGTTTGTGGCCAAAGTAGGAGCTGGTGGCAAGAAAGGGAGAAGAATGTCACTGGATGTGAAAAGCATCTTCTGTCTTCCCTGCTGCCTCAGTCTCTCCTATCCTTAAATAAAAGTTTAACAAAGACTTAGGGAGTTTATTTTGAAGTGATGCCAAATCATCCTGCCCAGGATGACCATTTGTCCTGGGCCGGCGTTGACCAAAGAGGAGGGAACACTAAACCATCTGCTAGGAGTGTTGACAGTTGTTCAGGGAATACTTTCTAAAGGAGATGACACCTGAGCGGAGTCACACAGGTTGAGTACTAGATAGCAAAGTAAAAGGAGGAGCTGTAAGGAAAAGTTCCAGACAAAAGAACAAGCATGTGAGAGACACTCAAATCTAGTATTCATTCCTAAACTGTTCCTTTCATTCAAGTAAAGCTCTGTTCTAGACACACTGAGGAACACAAAGATGTTTCAGAACAATTCTCAAATGAGGAATATTGAATGCGAAGCTTTGCTGCTATATCTGGACTGATACTTTCTAGATTTCCAGCTGAAAAAGAGGGGCCAGGACTGTTTGAAACAGCTCTGTTCACTTAGTACCTAAGTGCCTAGTAGGTATTCATTACATGATCATTGAATAAATGAACAAATAAATTCAACTGCTAGTCTAAATCTCAGCAGAAATTGTATTTCAGGGTACTTGTGAACAGAATGTTACTTTTTGAACTCATGCAGAAATACATTTGTTTATTTCTTTAAGCAATAGTCATACCATTGTTGTTTGAGCACCACCAATTTCAGAGAATTTGCTGCTTTTTAAAGACAATTGGTTTTTGGATGGTTCCAAATGTGAGAAAGATCTTCCTGGTATTCTGTCAAAATCCTCTGACTTTAATTACCACCTTAATTCTCCCATCTTCCCTCTGAACTCCAAAGCAGTACAGATTATGATGAATTCTTCTTTGACACGGCAACAGTTCAAACACGTCAAGGCAGCTATATCACTAATCACCTTTCTTTCTATCGTTGCCTTGTTTCCACACCAAAACTCTCTTCCCCGTGCTAAGTGTATGAATTCCTTCTTTCCTTCCTCAATTACTCTTCCTCAATTTCCTTCCCGTTACTCATCTTTTAGGTCTCAGATTACCTACTACTTTAGCCTCAGAAATCCTAACACAGGAAGATTTGGTCCCCTCGTTATAAACTCCTGTATCATCTTAATTTTTTCCTCCATGGCAGTTTTTAGGTTAGACATTGTTAATGTCTGTCTTCCCTGCTAGACACAAAGTACATTAGGAGAACTGGGGCCACAAGGTGGAAAGACAAACAAAATCACTGGCTATAGAAAGATTAAACTCATATGAGACAGGTCATCCTTAAATGAGTAAACAGACAAGTACATATAAAATTAGAAAGGTCAAAATCATAATAAAAAAGAAAACACTTCGTAGAGAATAATATGGGAATAATGGGAAAGCAAGGATCAGGAAAGGCCTTTCCTGATATTTAAAGTGAGACTCAGAGGAGTAGATTTTAGTCAGGTAAAAATTTGGGTTCAGAATCTTCCAGACAAGGAGGAGAGTGTGAGAGCATTCTCTGAGGTTTAGCATGCTAATATGGCTAGAGTACACTAGATAGCAGACAACTGGAGGGAGTGTTCAGTGAAGAGAGTGAGCATGTGCATTATTTGATGGAAGCGTAACATTAGGGAGAGACAGAGACCTTGAAACTGGATAATTTACTAGTATAATAAAAACTTGACTGACGTCAGTTCTACAAAATAGGGACAGTAATGGTAATCAACACAAAAATACTAAAATGCAATTAATTGGACTTTTGCTTCCAGACAAAATGGTGAAACAGGGAATAGATTTAACCTTCCTCCTGAATCAACTGAAAACACAAAATATATGAAACATTGGCTTTCAAGACATTAGACATGAAGTGGTGAAGGATAGTGAGCCCTAAAAATGAGAAACAAAGTGAGGTGAGTCTTAACGTTTGTCCCAGCTACCCCCTTCAGAGAGTTTCTAGGGTGAGGTATGGGGAGTGGGGACACAATGGAGAACAAAGAACTTCCTCATTTGACAGGATGGAGCTGAGAGTCTGGGAGACCAACAGTTTCACATAGAAGAGAAGATGCACAGAGAGAGAATCACAGAGATCTTCAGAGTTCCCCCCTGAGTATTCATCAGCGCATGCATGTGAAGAAACTGCTGGAGGATGGGGAAAGAACTACCCAAAAAGGTAAGAAGGAACAACACCCAGAGGTCAAACAGAGCCAGGAAATAGTGCCTCGTCCCACCATTCAGCCTGGAAAATATGTAATTCACAGGACATTGGGTAGAGTACTCAGGAGGATCTTACGTCAGTTGTAGAGAAAATTAACCTTAGATTGGATGCTGTTTTGGTCCACAAAACAAAACTTAAAATCAATATACAAAAGGAGCCCTGTTTCCACGGAACTTAACTGTGGCACAGAAAAAAAAATCCTTAAGTGTATTTATAGGAATACAAAATTATCCAACGTCGAGTAAGGTAAAATACAATGTCTAGTTTCTAATATAAAATACCCAGGCATGCTAGTCTATACCAAGCAAATATCTCTTTCATAAATGAAAGTGAAACAAATCCTTCCCAGATACACAAAAGCGCAAAAAACTTATCACTAGGAGACCCACACTACAACAAATGTTAATGGAGCCCTTCAAGTAGAAGGAAGATAATACCTCATGGAAATATAAATCTACACAAAAGAATAGCAATCACTGCAAATAAGAACTTCATGGGTAAATATATAAGATCTTTTCATATTATTTAACTCTCCTTAAAAGGTAAATTGTCAATTTGAACAAAAATATTACAATGCAGTGTAGAGTTTATAACATATGTAGAAGTAAAATGTGTGACATCAGTAACCAAAGATTGGAGATGGGGAGAAAAGGAACCATCCATTGTAGAATTCTTATGCAATATGTTTAGTGATATAAAATCTCTTAAAGGTGGATTGTGAAAAGTGGAAGATACGTACTATAAACCCTAAGCAACCACTAAAATAGCAAAACAAGGAGTTTTAGCTAACAAAATAATGAAGATAAAATTAAATTATTAAACCTGCTCAATAAATCCAAAATAATACATCAAAAGAGAAAAAACTGGACAAAGGGCAGGTGGGACAAATACAAAACAAAACTAATCACATTAAGTTAAGATGATCTACCTATACAAATTAAAAGCCTGAGCTTGTCCAAGTGGATAACAGACCCTCACACACACGCACAAAAGCAAGGGCCAACTATACAAACCACTTAAGAGAAACACTTTAAATATAAAGACATGAATAAGTTGAAAGTAAAATATTTAAAAATGTATATATACGAAGATATACAATTCTAACATTTAAAAATAGAAAACTGGAGTGGCTATTTAATATCAACCAAAGTAGATTTCATAACAAAGTATACTACCAGGGTTACTGTGAAGTATATGATTTAGTTTCCAATATATGAGGATTTTCTAAAGAGCTTTCTATTTTTACTTTCTAATTTAATTCCTTTGTGGTTAGAGAAATTTTTTTTGTATGACTTGAATCCTTTTAAGTTTGTTGTTAGTTGTTTTCTGGCCATAAATATAATCTATTTTATTAAATTTCCATGTGCACTTGAAAAGA